AATGGGCAAGGTCATTGCTAACTGGGAAATGCCTGCTCTGTATTGCACGACAGAGCATATCCGGACAGAGGCCGTCGTCGAAAATCGGCCTTACACCTTCGAGTCTCATGTGAAGAATCGGTTTCTGCCAGGAGCACCCGCAACTCAAAAACTCCCGTTCCCACCCGACTTACCCCAAGAGGGGCCCTTAAGCCCTGAAAGCTTAAATCAAAAAGCTCTGACGACTCTTCGATCATTAAAAGACATCCCGGTATCCGTCTCAGGTGCTTTGAACGGCGCCTTGCCGAGCGTTCCACGGCGGAGCGGATCGGTGGGATGCTCGGTCCAGGGCTCTCCCTGGTTGTTCTTGAAAGAAGCTGAGGGGATTTAGTAGGTGGGTTATAAGCAGGGTTATACTTAGGGTTTAGGAGTTACAGGCTGATCAAGTAGGATCTAAACAGGGATCATCAGGATAGATAGCCCCACAAGCGTACTTCTAGCCCCGGTCCCATGATCCCTGCAGGCAAGGCTAACCCCTGTTGGGTTTCGTGTTGGGGCGTTGGCTCCGGGCAACCTCTGTTTGGCATCCTCTCTTCGGGCGCCGTCACTTGCCAATACTTTATTCTGTAATACGGATCCCTTTAGTTCAGTCTATTTCGGTAGAGATCAGGGTCGCATGTCTCCGCAACTCCCCTTTGCACAGTGGCCATCTTTGACAGCTGTTGGACCTGGCAGCTTTGGGCTACATGACCTCCAACACAACAAAGGCACGCTCGCTGGAGCAGATGCCGAACCCTTCCGGGATGCAGCGCTCGCCATCCGTCCCGGCCTCGTGCAGTCGGTTTGCATCGGGTTTCTATACACTTGAAACAGCACTTAACACGACTAATCCGAGTCCCATGCGGCAGTAGCTCCGGGATGTAGCCTTGGGGGCCTTCCTAGTGACGCGCTACTGCTGTTGGATCTGTGATCACAACTCAAGCTTCGCAGCCGGAGCTTGTTGACTCCGGAAGAACCCTCCCACCCCGCCAAAATCCAAGCCCAAGCCCGAAACCCGAAACGCAGACGCCCTAATTAATCCCAACACCCAGCCCTAGTCGCCCTAGTCCTTATACGAACCCTTGTTGCTATGTCGTGGCCTGAGTATCAAGCGCTACTAGCAAGCTCATACTACAAGCCTAGAAGCCTCAAGACTGGCCGCTAGCCTCTTCAAGAGCACCGCGTTCGGAGAAAGCTGCTCCCTGGCAGTGAGGCCCCGGCAGTTGCGCAGGGGCCCATGCCCCGGAGTCGGAGTCGCTCCGTGAACTCTCGGCACAGCGGCCCCGGATCCAGGCGGACCCACACACCTCCAAGAGGGGGGGTTGGAGGCTGTTTTGCTTGGCATGTTTGGAAAGAGCTGAAGGCATCAGGGATTCTAGGGCTTCAGGGTTTCAGGATTTGGGGCTTAGGATTTCGCCAAAGTCTGGAGACCTTGACCTTTCTGTTTATATGCATCTCTTTGAGTGTGTGGGCCCTGACATGAAGGGCATGTAGATTGTAAGTAGATGATAGGTGAGAGTGACATGGATGGCACGGAGAATGCACAACAGCTATTGCAATGATAGGCTTGGCAATCCGCGATCAGTGTGAGTCCAAACGGTCTTCAATCCTTTGCATGAAAATACCCTTCGCTCGGCCTTCTCATTCCGTTTCACGGCGCAGGTCCTCCTCCAGAGCTCCTTCACCAGCAGGCATTCAAGGCCTGCGATACCTCGCAGTCCGATTGCTGCAGGAAAGCAAGGGAGGGGTCCAGATCGCTTCTGTCCCAGTTTAAGGCGTACAGCCAAGCACCATCAGCACCTTGCAGCCGTCGAGACAACGGGCCGCAAGTCCTCTTCGAAGCCCGGGTTCAGCTCAGCGAAATCCCCAACCTTCCAGCAGTCCAGGCAGTCGAGGTACACCAAAAAGCTCAAGCCGCCGTCGGGCTCCAAGTTGTTCAGACACCTTCGAGAGCCGGTAGCGGCCGAGTTGTGTGTGTTTTCCGTCGCCCTTCAATATGGGCGTGTCAGAACATGATGGTGACTCGAATCTACGGGGTAGGATCCTTTTTTGTAGAACCCCGCAGAGTTCAGGCAGAATTCGACCTCCCGAGGTTTCAGTGCCGGGGGCTTGCTCGGCTGAGAGTCCGGCAGATGTCGCTTCGAAGGGTGGTCGGCCAGATGACTCATGGGCCATGGGTCATGGCTTGACATGAGTAGATTGATGATCTTGATGCTTGATAGTTGCGCTCACAGGGAGCTGAACTCAGGCTTTTCCCAATCAACAGCCTTTGCTTTCGGCTGGCTCTGGGGTTCAGGATTTGGGTGATACGCGTTCAGGGCTTGTCAGGAAGATGTCGAGCTATGAAGCCCGAGCAATGAACCTAAGTCCAAGCGAGACTGGGCACTGGTCGAATCCCGATGCTTCGCGCGCCCACGGGCGCACGCTGCAATTTTCCTCCGTCCTCCTTTTAGAGGGGTGGCACATGGACCACATTGGATCACCGTAGAGCCTGAGCGCAGTGACAGGGGAGTGCATTGTGAGCTAATCGCAGCAGCGCCGAATCTCCTGTACATGCAGTTGTGCAAGAGCGGCAGTTTCTCGACTTGAGAAGTGCTTTGGCGTAGTTTGCTGCTCCAGCTTAGATGGCGTAACCTTGACATAAGTTTTGCGCCGAAAGTGGTCTAATACCACCCGTCTTCTTTGTGGCGGATAGCAATTGGCGGCGAGCAACTTCGCTGCCGCTGTTACACCCCGGGGAAACGGGTTTCCGACGTTCACTCATCAGCATCATGGAAGAGACTTCTCGTGGCGTTGAGCTCGGCCCGGATCATCGACAGGCTAGGCCAGTGCAAGTCTCTTACATCTTCCTCCAAGACGCCAATGCATGCACAAATACTCCTACTTGTAGGATTTCCGAAGAGCGAGCTTCAAGTCCGAAGCTTTCATATCAAGCCCCAAACACTACCGAGATTTGCAAGACTTCCCGTTTCCTGGGGGCGTGCCGGTGGATGTGCTCCTTTAAGGGATAACCCGTGCTGGCATTCGGGCTCTCCTTGCGGCGAACCCTTTACACATCCCTTGAGCGGACACAAGCGCTCCGGGCTGATTCCGGGAATGACCTTGTTCTGCATGTGGGTAGTTCTCTGAATTAGGGTCCCTTTTAGGGTCCTTTTTATAAGCCGTATTATATTGGGGGCCTACAATGGGACCCTAATTTAGAGAACGACCCCTGTACATGGCTCCCGACGTGTTCACTGTCTTAGGCTCCCGAGTGCATCTGAATGAAATCCCCGGCACAATCCCGCCTCAACCGGCTAATGTTAAGCCACCTCGCGCATGGACCGCCCGTAAATTCGATTGCTGCTACTTCCAATTCGTTGCACCTCCTGCGGCTCTGCTCTCCTGCCGCATTCGGCGATTTCCCAGCGCCGGAAACCCAGACCAGTAGCTTAGCATGGGATTGAAATCAAATTCATGTTCAAGTTCACAAAAGGTTGCCAGCAGTTTGGTGTCGACCGGACGGTTCTCAAGCCGTGCTCCTACCGCAATGATTATTGGGACTGGCTAGCCGGCTTAAACCGTCTCACTGAGCAATTTGGGGGTAAAGGGTTCAGAGTTCTGGCGTGGTTGGACTCCGACATGTTCCCTGAATCAAAGGGGCGAATTTGCAAGCTCCTCCATTGGCTGCCGCGCAGCACCGCTGCTTGAAGACTCGCTGCCCCAACAAAGGGCCCTGGTCAAAATCTAGAATCTAGGCATCACTTAGTCGATAGTGCCCCGGGCTTGGGGATAGGCTTAAAAGGTGGTGCCAAATAGAAACACAGCTTTTGCACGGCCTGCACATGCACACTCGTTGCCTTCGTAGTTCATTCGCTGAGTATTTCTCGGATTTTCTCGGATGCCGGGATGGGGCTTCCCAGCATGGCACAGGCATCGGGACACTCTATCCAGGGCTCCAGGGTACTACACATTGAAGCAAACGGTTTGGTCTATTCTGTCTGGTGGGCGAACGGAGCTTGCTTCCTGTACAGATGCGCGTTTGCTCGCAGTTCCAGACGGGTCGGCTGGACAAAGGTGCTTCCTTGGCTTTTGCTACATTTCAGCTTTCGGATTTCAGTGATTTCAGGCTGAGGCTTTAGTGATCTTCAACGGCGGAAGACCCTGGGGCACTCAGCCCCAACGACCGCCTCCATTGCGAAGTAGATTGATATCACTCCGTGGAACCGTGGATCTCCTCATAGGTAGCTTGGCCTTCAGGTTCTTTGAGCTTCAAGGCTCAGTTCCAGGCGAGGAGACCTGACAACACCTAGGCAGCTCGTTCTCCCGGACAGGATCGATTACAATTTGTGAAACTCGTCGGTGGGCTGAGCCGTGTCTTGATCGCCGGCATTTTGGCTTTTAGCGGCGGGGAGCTCCGGCCTCGCCATTTACAAGCCTCTCGTCTCATGTGATGTCAATCTCAGTCGACACAGGTGGAGTGTGGCCGAGGTTTATGGCGGGGCATGCTTCTCCGTAGGTCTTCAGAATGCATATGAGTTTGAAGCTGCAAACCATGACCCTTGTGAAGAGGAGCCGGCACCTTCCTTGACCCAAGTGGCCATTGAACCCAGTGGGCATTGCAATGATACTGCATGGCAGCATGTGCTTTGTGAGGACTGCATAGGAGGCTCGACGGTGTCACATATTTTGTGACACAACCGAAAATTTGCCTACATGAGCACTGCCACGATTGTGCACCATTGCATCAAGCAGGTTGCAACTCGAAGCCCACAAGAGCAGACTCAGTGCTTCTTCTTTGCACCAGCAGGTGAAGGAAGAGCAGACTAGACCCCAGGGCCCTAGTAAACACCCCACTCAAGGACCTAAGACAACCCTTCTACAAGCCCTGCCAAGCCCCATGCCCAACCCCAAAGGAAAAATGAAGTGGGTCGCGGTGCTTTCCGTGGCCTTCTGGGCCCTAGCTGGTGCGGTCAAGCAGCAGAGGCGCTGGGGCTTTCGGGATCTTGCAGCTGTTGGTCATCTACAGCGGAGTCATTTCAAGAGCAACAAATACACCATATGCCCAGTAACAGAAAAGAGTTAGCGAACTTCAAAACACAAGTCACCAACGACATAAGAATCATAACTCCTGCTCCTCCTCTTCATCATCATCATCATCATCATCAGCATCAGCATCATGACCATGACAAACATTGTAGTAGCTTGCACTGTCTAAGGGTGCTGCGTGTATAATTCCATGGATCCCCCGGTTCCTGGCTTGCGGACACGGAAGCTGAAAGCAATGCGATTCTACAAGCCGGGTCGCAGGCCACCACCCTCCGCCATTCCACAGGAGGCCGGCACCGGCTGTGTGATGGAATGATTGGGCCTGCTCCACAACACACACTCTGGAAAAGTAAGAGCTTGGTCTGCAGATGCTGTAATGTTTGCTTCGGAGTCTGGTGCAGCAGCCGGGCATTCGGATTTGGCCTATGCCGAATTTCGGGCCTCGTCAGTTGGGCTAGCCAACTTCACATTGCATCTCGAAAGGTCGTTGTCAGCTAGGCCTTGCAGTTGAATCGAAACTGAAATCGTCACCCCCCCCCGAAAAGACAACCCATGGCTGAGATCGGATACCCTTCGATTCTCGCCTGGAATCGGTAGCGATAGTTTTGCAATGCTAGCACAACTAAAAGCTAAGTATTAACATGCCTGCACCATCCTAATCGCAAGAAGAAGTGTAGCATCCGTCATCGTCACCATCATGGTCACCAGTTTAAAAATTTTGTGCCCTTATCCATCGGTAGAATTACCATATGACTATGATGCTGATAAATTCTAAAACACTATGCATGCTATCTTCATTCCTGTTACTGTATGACTATGATGTTGATAAAAATCAAGACCGATGACTCCTCAACGGATTCTTCTGAGCTGCCAGGAGCCTCTGGCGAGTCCTCTCACTCCGGGGACTGCTTCGGAGTTTCAGGGGTTTGGCAGTGGGGAGCTTTAGAGGCGAACTGGCAAACTGTGGGTGTGCAGGGTTTGAAGTGTGGGATCGAGCCCTCTACGTAGAGGGGCGCCGTCTTTGCTCATTCGCTGAAGCTCAACAGGAAAGGTAACCAGGCACCTTAAGATTCGAGATTGCCCCGCAAAGCCGTGACATCTCAACCCCGAATAACCCCGAGCAGTCAAACCACAGGACAAACTCATTGCCTGCTGTGCATGGCTGGTGGCTCCCTGACTGCTCAGTTCGGGCTTTTTCGGGAGGTTGGCATTCAACGGCTTTAGGGAGCCCTGATGCCACGTGCTGGGATCAGTGGCAGTGTTTTGTGTTTAGTTCCTAATGTTGAGACAGATCCTCCCAGCAGTTTACGACCTCAAGCAGTACAGAATCCAGCGCATCAAATAGCTTGCATATCTCCGCTGTTCGCATAGCAGCAGTTTGAGTCCTCCAGGTTCTACGCCCTCTGCGTAACCGCAGCCATGACTCTCGTGTTGGGCCTTGGCAGCTCAGCCAGCACAGCTTTTCAGGGCTCCTTCTGGAGGTCTCGGGACGATTGGAAGCACCGAAGCACCAATACCGAGTCGGAAGATGACGGAAGACGCTGGAGATTTTCGGAGTTGAAGCACCGAAGCTTGCAGCACCCCGGCAGCCGAGGCATGTTCTACTTCCAGGTCGACTCTCAGCAGCAGTGAGCGTTTCCGTCCTGACCGTGCTGCGTTGCGAACGATCCCCATAACACCAACAATTCCTTTGCACATTCCTGTGCCATAATAGAGCATCGCCGTCTGTAAGGTGTTTGGCCGAAGTCTTCAGCCTTATAAGCCCTGGAGCCCTGCAATGTGCGAGCGTTCCATCTTCAAGGCTCAGAGCGAAAGGCCTCCGAATCCTCAAAGTACAGTGAAAGCAGTGTTTGGTTCCTGGATCATGGAGCTTTATCGCCGCGATTCCCTCTTTACTTACACTGACTTAATTGCCCCGAGCCTCTTAGTATCCCACGGTCTCTGAAAGCCAAATCCGGAAACCTCCCCCTTCCCAGTCCCGGGACGCGGAGCAGCTCCTGAAGAAGCGATTTGCTGCGGCAAACGCCGAGGGCACCTGCGCCCCCACCCGCCCGGGTCTCGGAGCTTCGGGGCTCAGCCCGTCCAGTCCTCTGCCCTGAGAGAGACAGAGAGAGAGGGACCCTAAACCAAAGGGGGATTCCCCCTGCATCACAGCCCTGGCGAAAGAGAGACAGAGAGACAGCCAGCGAAGCAGGGAGAGGGAGAGGGAGAGCCTCAGTAATCCATTCCCCCTAATAATAATAAACGGGGGCCTCCCCCCCAAATGATACTCGGAAAGTGTCTTGATTATTGGAGGGTATTTTTATCTCTACTGCCACTTTTGAAGGGACGTGCTCTTGCTCCTGCTCGGCTCTTTCTCCAGCGAAGGCTTTTGCTCCCGCTTTTGCTCGTGCGCTTGCTCTTACTCCCGCTCTTGCTGATGCTCCCGCCTTTGTTCTTGTTCCTGCTGTTGCTTTTACCGTGCTCTAAAGGTATTTGGATCCTCGAAACCCTCCTTCCTAATTCGGAATTGGTTTTAAATCGCAGGGATTATTTCGGGAGGATTGGGCCCGGGCCCAATTTGCTTGTATTATAATAAAAGGGGGAAGCGATTATTCCCTGAGCTACGGACTCTCTGATGTCCGAACTCAAGGGTCTTCCTCGGAGACTTCGCCACTCCACTTGACGTTTTGCATCGAGGGGTGAGGGCTCAAGGCTCCCATGGGATGAAATAGAAACCCTCATGAAGCACCCCTGCGCCCCTAAACTCAAATCCACAAACCCCAAGCGACAAACCCTGCAATTCTGATGTAATTTCTTGTACCGTGGCCCAGAGATAAGATAAACAAAAACTGATTCCCGCTCTCAGGCTGCCAGGACACCTTGCCATACGGTGTCCCTCATCCACGCTGCTTGGCAGATCTTGAGGGGGCGGGGTTGTTGTTCCAGAGTTGGTAGTTTTGAGCTTCGTCGATTCGGGGTTGGGTTTTCGGGCCCTTATGATGATGTTGCATTTTCTGTAATTATATACATATACATACATGTGTATGGGTGTGCGCACGTTGGTATTCGCAATGTGTGTGTGTGTGTGTTTCAGGGCCTACCTGAGGGTCAGAGTGTGAAGATGGAGACCAAGTCTCGGTGCCCCATCGCGTTGCGTAGAGGATCAGCAAAAAATTGGCTTGGCACATTTGCGAAGATGGTTCTGTTGTTACTTGCGCGGTAGAGAAACTCCTGCGCGCAGCAGATGGTCAACTGATCATCACTGCCGACGGAGATCCCAACGCGGCCTAGATTTGCTGTCCCTTGACCTATCATCCGATTCTTGCCACTTCCAGCCCTTAGACTTTCCTGCATTGAAGCCAGGTGAGTCCAGCATCGCGAAGTCACTCTTCGACCACACACAGGAGAAGTCCTGCCTGGGGGGTTTTGCTTCGTGTCGGATAGATACGGCCTACAGGGATGTTGAGATTCTTGACTTTGTCTTTGGGTGGCCGGGTCTGGGGAGCTTAACTCCAACCCTCGGTGAAGAAGCCATAGAACCCTCAACCCAAGTAGCCCGGGCCGATACAAAGGTCCCAGGGGCCGATGCCCACCCTTCGCAAAAGCGCAGCAGTACCGAATTTCAGCTATTCCGGTTCAGAGCAAGGTGGCATTGAAGGCTGCCGCTTGGCTTAGCTCCGACGTCGTGAGTTTGGCTCAACCCCCGGGTTAAGTCTTTACTGCCCACCCGGAGGCAAAGACGAAGGACAGCTTCGCGAACAATGGGCTCGGTCCCAAGTCTTTTGCTGCACGTTCCAGAGCAGCTGCGCATACCTCAACATCCGACATCTGGACCCCCGAAGATTCCTTGATGCTAGCCGCAGGCCGTAGACAGTCCCGCCAGAGTTCAAAGGCCACTCAAGAATGGGTGAAGGAGTCCCAAACCCTAAACCTCCAAATCCCAAGCCCGGGCCCAAATCCAAAACCCCAGGTTGACGAATCCACGGCTGATCATGATCGGCCAATGATGAGACGAGGCTTGGGTCGGCTGCTATGGCATAATGCAAGATCTACTGCATCAGCCGCATTCACCGATTCACATTGCGCTTGGGCTGTTTTTGACGTGACCACAAACCTTCAAATTCTCTGGGCACGTTCCGTGAACAGCCCTGGCTTTGGAGACGTCTCAGATGCTGCCCCGGGCCTCGGACTTCCTCGAAGTCCAAACCCACAGCCACACGTACACCGTCTACGCCGTCACAATCTCAGGCTCTTAGTTCCCAAGCCTGCTAATTAGATCCCAGACCGTATAACCCTCAACTATAAACATATAGCCCTAGCCCTAAAACCGATATCTTTTCTAGGAGCTGGGCGCAGAAGCTGGGCCATTTCGTAGAACAACGTCGAAGATTCGTCAGAGCCCGCGCCTTACAATTCGGAGGTGGAGCTTCCTGAACATGGGATTAGGCTTTTAGGATCTAACGCTTCTTTGTTGGGGTTTAGGGCATACTACGGGGGCGGCTCAGCGAACTTAGCAAGTAATTAGGTTTGACCAGTATAAGGCTTATGTGACTTGAAGGTTCATGGTTGAGGGTTTGGGTAAGCTGTAGGTGGTTGCTTAAGCAGGAATGCACCATGTAGAGTGCGCCCAATCCCCATCCCAGATATTCTCCTCCAAGTCCCGCGATTCTTTGCGGCAGGCGCAGCTAGGGCTTGAAGGATCCACCGTGGTCTTGTTGATGCAGTTGCTTGTCGCATGGTTTCTGATGCGCATCATGACAATTGATCCTGTTCTTGTCGTGATGCTGTTGAGAGGATTAGCATAAACTCGTAGTTTTTGCTGAGTCAGTTTGGTCGGTCTAGCACGTGGTATCTTGCTCGCATCTTCCGTGACCCAGACTCTGGTCTCGAGTTTGAAAGTCACCCAAAGAAAACTTGGTACAGTTAATGCAGTGACCGTATCGCATAATGTGTAGGATACAGGGGTAGTTTTCAGAGCCTCTCGTGCCATCGGCGCGGCCGGTCGTGAACTCTGTGTGGTGAGTAGGGAAGCCAGTTTGGGAGTCAGCAAGCACTCAGCATGAGCCTGTCGCCCGAGCTGCACATTGCGCTTCAGCGCATAACTGCTTGCAACAAAAGTGAGCGCTTGCTGATGGTGGTGCGCGACGACCTGATCAAAAGTTTGCAAGCCGGACAGACCGCAGTGGCTTATGCACACGAGGCGTGGATGCAGCTGGAGCAGTTGGGCGCGGACGTGATGTCCATCGGGAGGTT